ACGCCCGCGGCCCCGCCCGCCGCACCCGCGCCCGCGCCCCCGGCGGCCCCGCCGCGGCCCGTGCAGTGGTTGCAGAGGATCTCGCCCTGCGCGCCCTTCTTCCACATGGACGACGACGTGGTCCGGCACACGCTGCACGTGGGCTTCAGGCCCAGCGGCATGGCGGCCGGCGGCGCGGGCGGCCCCCGGGGCCTCAGCGACACGGGAATCGCGACCGTGGGGCCGACGCGCTCGCTGCCACTGTCGCCTCGGCCTCCTCCCCCGCGCGGCTGCTCGGGAGGAAGCGGGGAAGGAGCGGAGGTGCCGTGGGCCCGGCGTTCCGAGGCCGCGGTCGCGGGCGGGGGCCCCCTGGCGGCTGGAAGACTCACTGGGCCGCCTCCCTCCCTGCGGGCCCGCCCCCTTCGGGAAAGAGCTCCCTCTCCCAGGCGTAGGGGTGCGGGGGGCGAGGAGCACTGGATTTGGAGCCTAGGACCCGGGTTAGAATCCCGAAGGTTTCCTAATCATCTCTGAGCAGATCTGTGTCTCGAGCACAAGTCTCTCCCCTGGCCTTCAGCCCCGCATCATCAGTGGCATGCTGGGCATCTCAAGCTGGATGTCCCGGAGACTCGTCAGACTCTCCTGGCTGGGAGGGTGGACAGCTTTTTCTAGGAGTTTGGCTGAGAAAGGGAAGAGAGAGATAGAGGAATAAGCCCACGGTTAGAGTGGGGTCAAAAGATAGTTGTTTTAAGTATGGCAGAGATGAGTATGTTGAAAGCAATAGGGAAGGAACGACTAATAGATAGGGGAGAGCTTGAATATGGAGGGGAAGGGCACAGTTGAGGTGGTGATCCGCTGGAGAATAGGGAAAGGGAAAGAACGGGATCATTATATAAGGAAAGTTGTCAGATGCTGGGGGTCCTTCCATCGGGGGTCCTTCCATCAGGGGTCCTGGGATTTTGAGATGAAGAGAAAGGAAGAAGACATTCCTGAGGAATGGCCTCTGTTTTCTCGGTAAAGAAGGGTCCTCACTTGAGAAAGAGGAGAGTGGTTTAAGTGTGGGAGATTTGAGAAGAGAGAAGGTTTGGGAAAGCTTTTGTGGAGAGTGAGATAAGAAATCAATTAAGGAAAAAATAGTATTCTCTTCCTGCATTCAGGGCCCTGGTAAAGTTGAATAACATGAATTTATAAGGTGAAGAAACTGAAGCCCAGAGAGGGGCACTAGCTATTATAACGTCTTTGGAGTACTCATTAGACATTAGTTTATGGTTCTGAACAAATTTTGTGTAGGTGCATTTTACAACAGACCGACAGCTGAATTGTATGAATCATGCAGGATGCCCAAGGCTGCTACCTTAGTTACACCTCGACTGTCCTTGACTAGAATTTAGCGGGGAGCCTCCACATAGACTTTTATAGGAGTGTTGTTTTGATGACTCCTTGGCTGCTTCTTGCCCTTAACTTCCCTTTTTCATGTGTGGGTGAGTAGAGACTATTTTCAGGGTACCATTCAGCCGTCTTCACCTCACTTTATGATTGCTGGACTCATCAGTTACAAATATTGTTCAGAGGAGGTGTCGAGATAGCCAAAGGGGGTCCATAGCACAAAGAGATGAAGAATCTTTGGTGCAGGCCAAGATTGTAAGCTCCCTGAGGACAGGGACTGTCTTTTGCCCCTTTTTGTATCCCCAGTGCTTAGCACAGTGTCTGGCATATAGGAGACACTTAATAAATGTCTGTTTATTGATCGGTAGACCCCAAGGTGTAAGCCAAAGTCACTTCAAGAATTGTTGATCAGAATGTAAGTGACCTGTCATTCCAGATGCCTACTGTACCAGGACCACTAGGCTATCCTCTGATTCCCCTCCATAAAGTCTTTCTGTTCATGATTTCTTCAAGAATAGGTCATCACAGACTAACCTGACTTCCTTATATTGACAGGGAGGTGAGGCTGATAGATCAGAGGAATGCTGTCGATACAGTTTACCTAGATCATAGCAAAGCATTTGATAAAGACTCTCATGATTTTCTTGTGGACAAAATGGTGAGCTGTGGGCTAGATGATAGTGTGTAGATTGGAACTAGTTGAATGACTGTAGCCTAATAGTATTCCTGGCTGGTTTGATGTCTCTTGGAAGGAGGTCTCCCAATAGGATGCCCCAGGGATTTATGTTTGGCCCTAGGCTTCTTATCCATAACCTGAATAAACACTTGCATAGCATACATATCAAACTTCCAAATGACCCAAAGCGGGAAGGCTAACCACACTAGACGACATAATGAGGATTCAAAAAGATCTTGGCAGGCTAGGACATTGGACCAACTCAAAAAGATGGAATTTAATATAGACAGGAGGTAGCTATGTGGCAGAGTGGATAGAGCACTGGGCCTGGAGTCAGGAGGACCTGAGTTCAGATCTGGCCTCAGACACTTACCAGCTGTGTGACCCTGGACAAGTCACTGAACCCTGTTTGCCCCAGTTTTCTCATCTGTAAAATGAGCTGGAGAAGGAAATGGCAAACCACTCCAGTATCTTTGTCAAGAAAACTCCAAATACAGTCACAAAGAGTAAGACATGACAGAAAAATAACTAAACAACATTTCTGTGTTGAAAACTATGTTCTATGTTCTACTTTCTCATATAATGCTGTTTGGCTATTTAGATAAAAAGTTGTTTTCTGTAGGAAAGGAAAAGCAAGGTGAGGTCTCTATCTCAGATCAGCTGTGGCAATGGCATGGGAGGAAACCACCATCTTAAAACTGTATGTTTGCTTTGGTTGTTTTCCGCAATGCAAATGACTTGACCTTACAGTTCAGTCCCTTTGGTGTTCTTGGTGGCAGTGAACTGCTGTGTGTTATCTTAATTGTTTGCTCAGTTATTGGAAGAAGAATTTGGAGGGCAGGGGAAGGAATTCAGAGGGGAGGAAGAAGAGAGAAAGATGGTATCTTGATATTTTCCTCCTTTGGGGGAGCCTTCCTTGCCTTTCCATCTTTATGACAAAAGACAAAAGTGCTTGTACTCATGAGATGTGTGTCTGTGCTGCTCACACCAAGCATTCTCTAATCAGATAGGCAGTAGTATGGATAGAGTGGATAGAGCACTCAAACAACTGGGTTGGAATCCATATGTATTTATTAAGCTCCTACCGAGTGACAATCCATAGTCTCTAGGAACTTATATTCTAACAACCAGTCTTGCTTACTTATTTACTAGCTATATAGGTAAGGTAAGGTAAGCTATAAAAGGTAAGACCTAGGTAAGTTACTTTAACCTCACTGAGTCTCGGTTTCCATATCTATAAAAGTGGAAATAATAGCAGCACCTGCTGATATAATGAGCTAATGCCTGTACATGATTTGCCAGTCCTAACACTGTCTATAAACATGAACTTTAATGAGTGATTACGTCCTTGCAGCTGTCTAGTTGCCAAATGAGTCAGAGGTCACTTGATCGTGAGTACAGTCTTTTTAATTTTTTATTTTTTTAAGAGTGAATCTCCCAGTCTCTTCCAGGCTGAAAATGCAGGGGCCACTTATGGGCCCAATCTCAATACTGATTGGCTCAGAAGCTTTAACCTGCCCTGTTTCCCCTCTACCCCTCCCCCCCACTTAGGCCAGTTAATCAGCATTAGCCCCACTGTAGCTCAGAACTCTCAAGTTCAGTCAATCACTGGTCTCAGCTTCCCTAGTAGCACAGACTACAGGCCTCCATCAACCCCCTCGTCACTCCACCTAGCTGGTCCACTTTTAAACTGTATGGATTAAGCCCTTCTCTGTTCATTCTCTTAGCAACAACTCTGCTATGAAACAAGCTACATCCTATATTTTCCCAAAGAATATCCCAGAACTAATTTCTAAGATAACACTACCCTTTAAAGTAACAGAGGAGGAGAAAACTGAGAAAGTACTTGAAAAGAACAACACATTTTAAAGTTAAAGTTGTTTCGTTTCAGTTGTCACATAAAGTGGACCAAAATTTTCCTTTAAAGACTTGAAATGCTCTGCAGCATGAAATAGGTTAGTCCAGTGGTCCTGGGTCTTCAGAATCTAATATCCTTATATCATTATCTTCATAAGCCATTAATAGAAAAAAGCCTGCTGTGGGATGTTGGGTGGCCCCATTAGCTATGTAACCACAGGTCCAATCACTCAGCCCCTTCCAGGTTCAGTTTCCTCATCTGTAAAATGAGATTGGAATAGAATCAGGGGTGGGGAACCTACATCCTCGAGGCCATATGTGGTCTTCTAGATCCTTGGATTCAGCCTTTTGACTGAGTCCAAGTTTTATAGAATAAATCCTTTTATTAAGGGGATTTGTTCTGTGAAATTTAGGTTCAGTCAAAGGGCTGCACTTGAGGACCTAGAGGACCATATGTGACCTCGAGGCTGCAGGTTCCCCATCCCTGGACTAGGTGTCCCTAGGGTTCTTTGGAGCTCTAAATCTGTGATCCAGTGACCACCTTCTGTGTGCTTCAATTAGAGTAAGTGGTAGTCTAGCCCATGTGGACATAAATGTGAATCACCTAGGGGATCCTCACTTGGAGCTTGATTTGGAAAGAGGGCATGATCTGAGTGACTCCTATTTTATGTACCCTGGACAGGTTTCCCTTATGTGGGTGGGATAGCGGCTCTTAATTGCTTCGTTGGCTTGGCTTCCTTGCCACCTGAGATGTGAAAGGCAGAGGTTTTAGCCTAATTCCTATTGCTACTGGGGAAGTCCTTACTGGCCCAGCATGCTAATTGTAGTGGTCAGTGCAGAGATGGAGAAGAACCAGTTGAGTATCTTTTTCATCTTTTGTTGCTATTAAGGTTGTTGTTTAATTTCATTTTATGCTTCACGTTGCGTTTTAACTCCCATCCTGAATCACTGAACTGGCTTGAGTTAAGCCTAAGCCAGAAGACTTCCAGACTTCCAGAGTTTAATAAGCTTCATGAAATTGAGATGCAGCTGGGGAGCCCTTTGGTGGATGAACTTATGGCTCCTGTCCTGAAGCTAGCTCTGGGTGGAGTGCAACATTCAGAGGCAAGGAAGGAGGAGGGAGACGAATCTCAGTTCTAGACCTGATACTTTGATTTGAGGCCACATCTAACGAGTTTAAAAGGAGCTAGGTGGCTCAGTAATAGAGTGCGAGGCCTGGAGTCAGGAAGACTCCTCTTCCTGAGTTCAAATCTGGCCTCAGACACTTCCTAGCTGTGTGACCCTGGGCAGGTCACTGAACCCTGTTTGCCTCAGTTTCCTCTTCTATAAAAGGAGCTGGAGAAGGAAATGACAAACCACTCCAGTATCTTTGCTAAGAAAACTCCAAATGGGGTCATAGTCAGACACAAGTGAAATGACTAAACAGCAATCAGGTTTGTTTGTTTATCACGTTGTCAAGTTAATTTAGTGAGATTTCACTCAAGTCCTGTTTTTCCTGACAGTTTTGGGATAGGCCATTCCTGACTTCTGTCCAACTGTCTCCCAACTGTCATTTCTAGAATTTTGTGGTTGAAGCTTCCGTTTGTCTCTGGTCTCCTGGACCCCTCTTGGCAGGACCAGGAGCATCCTCTGCAGATCCAGGGAAGGGCCAGCTACTGTTGTGATTAAGGCATGAGCCCCCTGTGGTTTCACTCAATAGAATTCGATTCAACTACTTCTTTATTGGACTAAATTAAAAGCAATTTTTTTTCCTGGTTATTTTCTAGACAAACACAAATCCCTTAGATTGTTATCTGAGCACTATTTATTGCTGTTTGGGTGTGTGGCATGCCTCTTGATTTTAGCAAAAGAGGAGATATTTCTGCTCCCCACAACATTGAAAGACAAAAGACTGTCAGCCCACTAGTGCTGATAGATTTTGGGTATTCTGCATTATTAAGTTGATCAGCATTGTAGCGGAAAGAGTTCTGGCTATCAAGTCAACAGGCCCTGGCTCAAATCCCACTTGGGATTTGATGGGCCTTGACCAAGGTGTTGAACATCCCTGGGCCTCATTTTCCTCTTGTAGAAGATGGGGGGTTGAATTAAATGTTTTCTGGGGTCCCTTCTAACTCTACGTCTACAATCCTAGGAAATGCCACATTTTAGCCTCATCCACATGTTGGGAAGATTCTGTTTTCATGAATGTTTCAGAAAGCTTTAGGCCAGTCAAATAGTGGCAGATACATTTACACTGTACAGAGTAAAGAAAGAAAGGGGTCATGTAAAAAGTTCACCTTGGGGCACTAAATTTGAGTTTTACCGTTAGGGAGAGCTTGTCCAAGATGGACGCACTGTATTGAATGTGCTGGCAAATAACCACATAACTAAGGCCTACAAACATTTTTACAGTTAAATGCACTGATTTTTTTTTAAAGTATTTGGTCAGAATTAATTTTGAACCAGCAACATAATTTGCTTTGCCCTAATCATTGTTGTCAAGTTTTAAAACTTTTTAAAAGTTGGCTTTAAGATCTGGGATAATGAGATTTAAAAATGAGATACATATGTACTATTCTGACTATCTCATTTACACACATAAGTTGATAAACATCTCTGAGGATGAAAAGGCGTGGAGGGCTCTCAGTGAAAACCACACTAAAGAGATCACAGATACATCAAATTATCTAAGTATGTTTGACAGTCACATACATGGGTAACATGGAGTGGATCGGTCCTTTCTTTCAGACTAAATTTTATCGTCATTGTGTGTCATTATCTGGAATGTTAAGGCCGTCTCTAATTTTTCAAATGTATAATGTTTATATCTTGCTTGTCCGTAGTTGTTAGCATTTTGTCTCCCCCATAAAGAGTTCCTTGAGGGCAGGGACTATCTTTTGCCTTTATTTGTAACCCCAGTGCCTGGTGCATAGTAGGTGCTTAATAAATGTTTATTGACTTTTAGAGATACTGTGGTATGACAGAAAGAATGCCGGTCATGGAGCCAGGAAGACCTGGGTTCAAATCTCCTTCTGACAGTTTTTATCTGCATGACCCTGGGCAAGTCATAGGCTCGTAGATCGAGAACTGGAAGGGATTTCTGAGTGCAACCCCTCATTTTGTAGATGAGGAAACTGAGACCCAGGGGAGTTAAGTGACTTGCCCAGGGTCGTATAGGTAAGCTTTAGAGGCAGGACTAAAGCCTCAGTGGTGCAATGGGTAGAATAATGAGCCCAGGCCTGCCTCAGACGCAGTTTGACATTTGCAAGTCCCATAACCTCTTCCTCTCTAAAGTGGAGATGTTGTGAGGGCACAGGGGGATACTGTGTAAAGCACTATATACATGATATTATCATTATTATTATTCCCAAGTCCTCCTGCTCTAGCACCTGGGCTCTTTCTACTGTCCTAAGCTGTGCCTGGGGTAAATTCCTGAGGACTTATTTGCAGAGCCATGCCCTCAGTGTGATCTGTACTGGTGAAGGGTAGCCCCATAATAAGAATTCCCTCTACAGCAAAAAAATCATAGACCTTTGGTGATTAGTTTATGATTCCCCTAACCACAGGGCCTTGCGTTGAGAGGACCACTGGCTTGTTTTAGTTGTTCTGTAGATCTGTGGAGAGCCCCTTCTGTGTGGAAAGCACCAGAGTAGCCCACAAGACAGTGTTCGAGGGCCCCTAGATGTAAACACAGCGAGAGAAAATGTCAGGATTGGAAACCAAGATGATTGTATGGGCACTGTTAACAATTGTTCTAACTGAATACTCCATTAAGGTGAATGGCGCACCAACCCGCTGATTATGTGGTCTGGCTGGCAAATGACACTGATGCACCACAAAACGGAGAGGACAAAATTAATCCATTCAACAACACGACCATCCGTAGAGGTAAGAGAAAAGTTAGCGTTAGATACAGGTTGCCATGTTGGTATAGAAAAATGCATATTGTGATGTTATAATATAAGATAGACATTTTGAGTATATACAATTTAAAAGTTTTTGCACAAACAGATCTAATGCAGTAAAAATTAGAAGGGAAACAGGTCACCAGGGGAAAAGAAATTTTTGTAACAAATTCTTCTGGTCAGGATTTTATTTCTAAGATATATAAAGAACTGATTCAAATTTGTAATACTGAGAGCCATGCCCCAATACATAAATGGTCAAAGGATATAAACAGGCAGTTTTCAGAGAAATCCAAGTTATCAACAACCACATTTAAAAAAAAGAGATCTAAAACAAATAATAATTAGAGAAATGTAAAATTAAAGTAACTTGGACGTTCAACCTCATACATATCAGAATAGCAAAAAATGACAAATTAGGAAAATGGCAGATGTTGGAGAGGCTGTGGGAAAACAGGGACACTACTGCCCTATTGATGGAAGTGTGAACTGGTCCGGCCATTCTAGAAAACAATTTGGAACTATTCCCAGAAAGTTCCCAAACTATACACCTTGTGAGCCAGCTGTACCACTACTAGGCCTATGTTCTCAAAGAAGTCCAAGAAAGAGGAAAAAGAGCTTTATGTACAAAAACATCGATAGCAGCTCTTTTCATGGTAGCCCCAAAACGGAAACTAGCAGGGTATGCTCTTATTCAGGTACAGCTAAACAAATTGTGGTGTCTGAATATAATGGAATATTATTGTGCCATATTTAATTATGAAATGGACAATTTCAGAGGAAACCAGAAAGATCTTTGTGAAGTGAGCAGTGAGTGAGCAGAAGTGAGCAAGACTGAGAAAGCAACTTATACAATGATAGCGTTATAGAGAAAAACAGCTTTGAAAGACTTAGAACTCTGATCAGTGCAATGATCAAACATCAGCCCAAAAGACTGACGATGAAAAACGTCACTCGCCTCCTGCCAGATTGGTGAGGAGCCTCTCTGTAAAAAGAGAGAAACATTTTTGGGCGTGGCCAATGTGGGGATTTGTTTTGCTGAACTATGCAGCTGTGTATTGAGGGATTGATTTTTTTGTTTTGGGGTCGTTTTGGTCTCAATGGGGGGAGGAAGTAGTGGGAGGGGCAGATTAATCAATAAAAAAATTCTTACTTGAAAAATAAAAATTACAAACTTTAAAAAAAAACATATTCTTTGGGAAGCCTGGTTTTTGGCATCTTCCTCCCCTACCTTATCTAATCAAAGCCCCTGCCCAAGGAAATGATATTCCATTCATGAGTACTTTCTTTGTCATTGATGCCATCATCTTCCCTGAACCTCTCCCCACTTCCAGCCCTCATCACTGTCACTACCAGAAAAAGCCTTGCAGAAGATTCCATGAGAAAAGGTAGAAGTAGTGGGAAGTGATGGGGTTTACTGATCATCTTCTGTTTTCTTCTATGTCTCAGCCATGGATGAAGTTGAAAGTGAAACTTCTTTTGTACCTCTGGTTATGAGAAACTTTCTTTAGATGTGTGTGTGTGTGTGTGTGTGTGTGTTTGTTTGTGTGTGAGAGAGAGAGAGAGAGATTTGGAATCTCTTAGATTGTGGAGAAGGGGCCCACCTTTCTCATAATCGCCAGCAATAGTTGCTGACAAACTGCCTCCAACCAGCAGATAGACACAGAGCCCTGGGAGTGGCAGCAAACCCCCCGCCCCCACTCCAGACCACTAGACATGCTACCGGCCCAGTCCTCATAGCCACCGTCTGTGGAAGTGGCTCTTGTGGAGAAGTAACTGGCCATCACCACCAACTGCCCGCCATCTTGTATCCCTGATGGAATGGGAGGGCAGAGACGAAGACAACACTGCCTAGCGGAAGCAGCAAGGCATCTGAAGGAGAGATAGCCGGTGTGTACCAGGCAGGTCAAATCACCACCACCTTGACCATCATCTCCCCTGAGACCCCGATGGAGACAACCTAGGACCCTGCACCCAAAAACCTTGGGAATAGCAATGCTACCAGACCAGTGTCCTCAGTCCTGACATTGAAGAAAAGGCTTTACCGGTGTCCTTTGTCACTGCACAGACCTTTCCATCCAACTCCTTCCATATGTATCGTCTCACCCATTAGAATGTGAGCTCCTTGAGGGCAGGGACTGTCGGTTTGTATCTCCAGGGGCTTTCTGTGTAGTAAGCACTTAATAAATGCTTCATTCATTTAGTAGGAAGATGGATTTCAGAGTTGTTTCCAGTTCTAAAGAGGCTTAGGGTCTCTCCATGGAATACTTAGACCAGGTCTACAATTTGGCTATTTTGTAACCTCTGCTCATTTCTCCTGCTCCTCTATAGGGCCAAACAAAACAAATCGAGGGGCAGCTAGGTGGCACAGTAGATAGAGCTTCGGCCATGGAGTCAGGAGGACCTGAGTTCAAATTTGGCTTCAGACACTTGACACTTATTAGCTGTGTGACCCTGGGCAAGTCACTTAACCCTGATTGCCTTTAAAAAAAAAAAGGCAAGAAAACAAAAACAACAAATCGAATCTATTTTCCATATAACAAACAGCTCTTCATATGCTTAAAAAGTGACTCTTCTCCTGGACACACACATCTCCAGTTCTTTCAATGGTACTCATGTGGCATACTCTGAAGGTTCACCACCATCTTGGTTGCTTACTTCCAGATACCCTCCAGATTTTCAGTGTTGGGGTATTTTTCCCTAAAATAGGGCCCCCAGAACTATATATAATATTCCACATGTAACCTGATCAGGGCAGAGTAATGGAGATCTTAAAGGTTTGATGACCATTTTTCATGTGTGTTGAGGATGTACACGCTATCTTTTGGGTATAGATTAGACTAGATAGCCCTTGGATCCTCTCAATCTGTGACTGTGGGTCTGAGTACAGTGAGACTATCACTCTTCTAGGGCTGAGCACTGTGCCTTTCTCCATAGAGCCTTCCGCATTATCTTTTTTTAAAGTTTTATTGACATCCGAATCAATAAGCATGTATTTATTAGGTACCTACTGTGTGCTAAGTACCATGCTCAGTATTGAGTATACAAAAACAAAAACAAGCAGATCTTTTTTCAGGGGAATCAGTCTAACCATGACTCATATTTTACTTATGAAATTGAATTTTTGAACCCGAGTGTAAGACTTTACATTTATTAAATTGAAGAAGGAAACATGGAGAATTACATTTTGTTGATGTCTATCTAGCCCTGACCATGTATTTAGACCAGACTATGAAATGTTAAAAACTATGTACATTCTTTTCCTCTAGTGTCATGTTAATCAAACAGACTTCTAAACTTTAATTTGGTCTCCTAAGTAGATCTGTGTACCAGAAATCCAGAGCCCTGGGTTGATATCCTGTTTTCGTTTTTTTCAGGACTAGTATAACCTATTGTTGATCATTTATTCTGGTTTGCAAATTAATCATCTCTGAGTTTGGTTCCCAGAATCAAATACTGGACCACCATACTCTTTCCACTTTCCTTTTGTGTAAGGAAGAAAAACAAGTCTTTCCAGTCTGGTCTTCTAGGGTCTGATCTACTTTCTAAGTATAAAAAGCCGTGTAGAGAGACTACCTTAATTACTTTAGGCCATTAAAATATTTAGTTTAATTTTACCTGTTAGGTATAAATTAGTTGATTCTGTTAATTTTTTTTCAGCGAGCAAAAATTTCCCAGTTGAAATTCAACTATATTTGACACTTTTCTCAGAAAGAATTAGCCAGATTTTCTACCTGCTATTTCAGTAATGAATAACACAAAAACCTGGAGCTTTTAGCCATGTCATTTGAACAGTTTCAAAAGCATTCCCCAAAAATTGTCCCAACTGGTTTCATTATCCCATAGGAACTATGTCTCTGTCATATCATAATTCTTGAAATGGACTTGTATATGAGATAGAAAATTTTGGATTATTTTTGTTTTTAGAAGGAGGTGATTTCTCTTACACAAATATTTTAGGTATCATCTAGGGCTAGCTTAGTTCTGAGCATCAGGTCCAAATTTAGTCTTCAATTTCTTTGACAAACATTATATTAAAATTTCATTATTTCCCAGCAAAGAGAACCTTTTATGCCCTGGGATTATAAAGATAATGTATGTAGACATCAATAATTAAGGGCAGACTCTTCAGTCTGTTATTAAATGGAAAGGCTGAAAGAATGGTTACATCTTCATAGGGTATGCTTTATAGCCATGTATCATTTTCTATCAGATATTTTTATCAAATGAGAACTGATTCCAAACAATGCAATCTATAGAGTCAAGACTATGATTCTCTAACACTAGACCAGTTTAGATTGTTTTAATATTATTGTAGCTTAGCAGAGATACAGCTGAAGTTGGAGTCAAGAGATCTGACTCCAGACAAGTCAGGTGACCTCTCTCAAACAGTTTTTCCATCAATAAAAGGAGAGTAATTATACTTAACCTGCTTATTTCCCATTGTTGTGTAGAAATCATTTTATAAACTGTAAAGCACTGTATAAGTGGATTAATATTATATTTGGGTCAAACACATTTATAGAAACAATACTACATTTCAGAATCTACCAGTAGACACTTCAAAGATGTCAGTGTTATACAGGGTGTCCCCAAAGTCTAAGATTAAGACTTTTGGGACACTCTGTATGTCTTTTAAACTAAATTTTTCAGTGAACAATTCTTTGTCTCTTAAACCCCTTTCAAACTTCCTCTCTGTCCCCCAAAACCCAAACCCAAACCCTTGCAAATAAATATGCTTGGTAGAACAAAACAAATTCCTCCATTGGCCATGTCCAAAAAATACATCATTCTCCATCTGAGTTTCATCACTTCTCTGACAGGATGGGAGTAGTATATTTCATCATTGCTCCTTCAGAATCATGACTGGTCATTATGTTGATCAGAGTCTTTCAAAGCTGCTTGTCTTTACAGTGTTACTGTATAAATTGTTCTCCTGGTTCTATCTATCTCATTCTTCATCATGTGGTACAAAACTTAACCAAGTTTCTCTGAAAACTGTTACTTTCAACATTTTTTGCAGCACAATAGTATCTATCACATTTATATACCATCATTTATTCACCATTCTCTAATGGACGGGTACCTGCTTACTTTCCAGTTCTTTGCCACCATGAAAAAAGTTGCTATAAATATTTTTGTAGATGGGGGTCCTTTTCCTCTTTCTTTGAATTCTGTAGATCTAATAGAGATACTTTAGTGTCTTTGGGGGAATAGTTCTAGATTGCTTTCCTGAATGGCTGAACTAATTCACAGCTCTACCAACAGTACCTTAATGTGCTTATTTTCCTGCAATCTAACATTTCTCATTTTCCTTTTTTGTCAACTTTGTCCCTGTTTTATTAAATCATGTAAGTATATTACTTTTACTCTCTTACTAATAAAATTTAATAGTTACACATCTGTAGTTTTAAATATAGCAACTTGAAAGTAGATTTGTATACCAAATTTAGCTCTGCACATTTTGAAATCCCATTCTACTCACATGACCAATAGCCATACAGAAAAATATCCTTATTTATCTTTTAGATTTTGAGAATGTATCTTTTATAGAAACAAGAGATGTCACTGTGAAAATTTTCATACATTCAGCAATATTTACATTTTTCCCAGGGTATGCAGAATATTTTAATAGGTACTGTCAAGAAATAGAAGAAACCTCTGCCCTCAAAAAGCTCATGATCTGACTGAGGAATTCAGAATGCATATAGGAAAAATGTTAACGTTTGCAGAACGTCATATTAACGAGTGGAAATCAATATAATACAAACAAAACACCTAACTACTGTGTTTCCTTTCATTCTCCCAGCCTACAGAAATATTCAGCCTCCACTGCATTACCAGAATTATCTAGCTATTTAAGCAATAAAGCCTTTTATGTTTCCCAGATCATCTTTGATCATTTCAATAGGTCATGCATTATCCTATTAAAAAAAAGAGAGAGAGACATAAAATGCTTCTATTCTTTCGAGCCAAGAAAGCTGGGAAGAAACACGCTCTTGAGTTTATCATGTATGAGTCAACAGATGGGCATGGCAGGAAGACTTCAGAGCTTCATCGTTAGCTAGCATGTGAGCTTTTCTGCAACGAATGCTTTCAAAAACAGCTTTTCTGCAAAAATCTTTTAGTAAATATGTTTATCAGTCAACCGCTGAAGTTTGGTGGGAATTCTTGGCCAATAGGACAACTCAAACAGTTGACTCATGAAAATGTTTAGAAAAATAATGGTTAATTCTCATGACTCACAAATGAAAGTGGGAGTGCAAGGCTGGGGCTTTGGTCTCCTTGGGTATAAGGGTGGAGATAGAGGGCAATTGGACAACTCTTTAATTTCCATTCCACAGTGGAGCAGACCGATATAAAATGGAGGAGCAAGAATGACTCAGCCAGAGTCATGTAATGATTAAGTGATAAAGCCTAGGGTAGGATTTGTTACTCTTAAATCTAGTCTCATACTCATATACTAGTGACAATACCAATACATAATAGCACCCCTCTCCCAGGGTTGTTGTGAGGATCAAATGAAATAATATCTGTAAAGTTCTTAGCACAGTGCGTGCCACACAGTAGACACTATATAAATGTTAGCTATTTTGTAATAATGATTACAGTGATTAATGCACAGCACTGTAAGCCAAGAGATTTGTAGTTTTGAGGTTTTTTGTGGGGGAGGGGAAACTACCATTTATTTATTGAGTGACTTTTAGAAAGACACCATCTCTGCCTGCCTTTCTCATTGGGGATGATAATAAGAGTTTACCATAATTAACAGCGAGTTTAGTTGCACTTTTCCCAAATGTTAAAACCAAGTTTAATATAACATAATATAATATGTCAAACTCAGGTATCTAGCAATCTGCCCTGCCTATAGCATAACTTAGATCCAGGAAGCAACCAAACAGTACCATTGAGCAGTCAAAACAGAGGCCACAAAGTCCAGACACTAAAGCCATGGTCACTTTATTCACAAGTGAACCCCTCAGTCCTTCACTCAGGGCCAATTTACTACAATTTTACACACAATTCTAGTAAGCCTTTTAAATTTCCAAACCTGTAACAGACAGAAGGAAGAACTAAAGCCAAGTACATTGACTACAGAAAAAGTTGTCACCTAAAACAAGGGAGAATATAGAAAATAGAAAAACTATAAAAAGCAGACATCAGAACTAAAGGAAAAATAGTCATGCAGTACTGTGGAGGAGTCCTCTGTATGACACTGGGCCCGGAGGACATCACAGCATGATAGGTGACTTTGATAATGATTTTATTGAATCGCCAAGGGGTTAAATTTTATACAGTACATTCTGTTAAAGAAAAAAAAAAGTGAGCCATGTAGCAATTTTAGAAAGATTTCCAAATAGGAAATGGAGAAATTTTTAAAAATTAATTTATTTTTAGTTTTCAACATTCACTTCCTATAAGCTTTTGAGTTTTAAAATTTCTCCCACTCCCTTCCCACCTCCCTCCCCAAGATGACATGCAATCTGATATAGGCTATACATGTACATTCCTATTAAACATATTTTCACATTAGTCATGTTGTAAAGAAGAATTAGAACCAATAGAAAGAACCACAAGAAAGAAGAAACAAACAGAATAGGAAAAAAAGAGCAAATAGTATGCTTTGATCTGCATTCCAACTCCATAGTTCTTTCTCTGGATGTGGATAGCATTTTCCATCATGAGGCCTTTGGAGATGTCTTACATCTTTGCATTGCTGAGAACTAAGTCTATCAAAGCTAATCAGCGCACAACATGACTGTTACTGTGTACAATGTTCTCCTGGTTCTGCTCACTTCACTCAGCATCAGACCACACAAGTCTTTCCAGGTTTTTCTGAAGTCTGCCTGCTCGTCATTTCTCATAACACAATAGTATTCCATTACATTCATATACCACAACTTGTTCAGCCATTCCCCAATTGATGGGCATCCCCTCAATTTCAAATTCTTTGCCACCACAAAAAGAGCTGCTACAAATATTTTTGTACATATGAGTCCTTTTTCTCATTTTTATGATCTCTTTGGGATACAGCCCTAGAAGTGCTATTGCTGGGTTAAAGGGTATGCACATTTTTATAGCCCTTTGGGCATAGTTCCAAATTGCTCTCCAAAATGGTTAGATCAGTTTACAGCTCCACCAACAATGCATTAATGTTCCAGTTTTAATGGGGAAATTTTTTAAATGAAGGTTTTGTTATTTAAAGAGGCACCTTGAAAGTTTTGGATGGTTTGGATTTTGTTGTATTTTGTTCTCTGTTACCGAAAACTCTTATATTTTTTCCCCCCTTGCCCTCCAGTGAATCAGAAAATAGACCCATTTCTTAAGCTTCAAAAAAAGGTCATGGTATTTACAAATAATTTACTCCTAGATTTTTAATATTTAGTTACAAAAAAAATAATAGTTATATTTTCCCATAGATTTCATCAGAAAAGTATTCTTCGTCTTGACATTTCAGTTGATGATAACATTGGGAGTAATCTGCTTGTTTATTTTCTGGTAAGTATTATTTCTATATATTAAATTATTAATCTGTTCAACATTATTACTAATAACTTAATGGTTTTTTTTCATCATTGTCCAACATCATGCCATTTTTCTACCTATTACCGCAAATAACACTTCTGAAATTCCTGGTAGAGACTAGCTTCTTTCCCAGATCTTAAGTAATTTTTTTTTTCACTGGGAAACCACCCATTTAAAAGTGTGGTGATTCTATTTAAAAAAACACCTTTCTAACTTAATGCTTTAACATTACCTTCTTTCCTCCCCAAACTGTAGTGAATCCTGATTTTCTTTATTCATCAGATTCACCCAACTTATTCTTATTTTCCAGTTTGGGTCTTTTTCTCCCGGATTATCTTCTTGTGGCCATTCCAAATTCCATGAATGTATATATATACATATATGTATATATAATCACATGCATATAACACACAGCTCATCTCTCAAAGCTAGGCTCAATGTTAAAAAAAACATATTTACAAAAATCTAAATTTGTAATGCAGATAAATCAAGATGGTGTATCGGAAAACTGGCTTTGGAGTTAATAGTCCTGGCTTCAAATCCCAGCTCTGTGACCTTGGCAAGTCATGCAATTTCTCAGGGCTTCCATTTTTTCATCTATAAAGTCAGAGGATTGAACTCGATGATGCCCTTTCCAAATCAAAATCCAAATGATCTATAAGCCAGTCAAAGGATGAAGTGCAGTTATTGATGCTCATAATGCTGATTATAGAATACCTTGAGATCATGATCACTTCTATTTAAAAAGGCATTTGATAAACTGAAATTAAACTGTTAGGGAACACATTTACATTGTAAAGTATAGCTATAGTTAGACAACTATGAGACCTGGGTAATAGTTCACCCTTGAGTGTCAGAGTCAATCGATTTTTCTTCCCCACATAGTACCTAGCAAATGATCCAGTAACTATATTAAAATAATACAAGATGTCACAAGAAAAATCTGCACCTAAGGAAGATTAATCTGTCACTGTTTTGAAAGATGGATTGAAACAGGAAGAGAGCAGAGACTGGAAGACCCTCTTATCAATTAGCCAGTCAATTTTCCCATTAGAGTATAAGCACCTTGAGGGCAGGGACTTTCTTTTTACCTGTGTTTGTATCCCCAGTGCTTAGCACTGTCTGGCACATAGTGCTTAGTAAGTGTTTGTTGCCTTCCATGTGTTCAATAAACAAGCATTTGCTAAGCACCTATATATGTGTGTTTATACACACACATACACATATATATGTATATGTATGTATATATATATGCATATGTGTGTGTGTATATATATATATGCATATGTATGTATAACCAAAAGATGTACACGATAAATACAAGGCAATGGGGGGGTGGAGGTGGGCAAAGAACTCACTAGCTGTTGGGAGGTTAAGGAAAGGCCTTATGTAGAAGGTGCTGCTAAAGCTAAGCTTCAAGGAAACTCCGAAGGAATTTTGAAGTTTGAAGTGAGGAGAATGTGCATTTTAGATATGAGGAATAGCTTGTGCAAAGGCTCAGCCAGGAGATGGCAGATTGTAGGTGAAGGCACAAATGGAATGGGGTGTAAGGCATTGGAGGCAGGCAATGAAGGGCCTTCAACGCCACACAGAGAAATCTGTTTGTATTGGACTCTGGAGGTGATAGGAAATGGCAGGAGTTTATTAAGAAGGAGAGTGACCCAATCCGACCTGTGCTTTAGGGAAGTTACTTTGGCAGCAGATTGTAGGACGGATGGGAGTGGGGAGAGCCTGAGGCAGGCAGAGCTGTTGTAGTAGTCCGGATGAAAGGTGACAAGGGCCTGCACTGGGCTGATTGTTGTCTAAGTCTGATTGGAGGTGAAATGAACAGGCCTTAGCAACTGTGTGGCTGAGGGAGGATGAGAAATCAAGGACGACTCGCAGGTTACAAATCTGGGTGCCTGGAAGGATCGTTGTGACCACAAAAGAAGTAAGGAAGTTCAGAAGGCAGGCGGGTTTGTGACAAAAATGGCCCAAGGAGCGGCTGCTTAGGGACTGTTGCCAATCCTACCATCAATAATGCAAAGATAGGGAAAAACTGCAGTTCATCATGCTCGGAGCACAGGCATCATTCAACATCAAAAATTAGTGAGCCCAGAGCTTCAGTTTCGACTCCCTTTTATATAGGTTTTGATTTACCTAAGCAGGATGAATACACTGGAATTTCAAAGATCAAGTAAGGGAAGATACCAAAGAACTGATGACAGACGGGGGAGAAATATGTTAGGTAAAAAGGAAACTAGTCAGTTAACACCAGACATGTAGTGGAAAAGCTTGATTTTACAGTCTCACTAACTAGGTGATGTCCTCTTCCTAAGTAAATGATAGTAAGAAGGTTAAGACATAAATTCTCTTGTGATCTGTGTGTGTGTCTGTGAAGGAGGAGAAGATGGTAAATTCAGTCTGAGGCATGATGAGTTTGAGATGTTTCCAGGACATCCAGTTCTCCATGTCTAATAGGTGGTTTTGGTGATGCCAAATGCAGAGCTAAGGGGAAAAATGAAGGCAGAAATGTAGATCTTGGAGTCATCTGCCTAGAGAGGATAATTAAACTCAGATGAGTGGATGAAGTCAATGAGAGTGACAAAGAAGAGGGCCCAGGACTGCACCTTGGGGAGCCATGGTTAGGAGGTTTGTGATTAATGATACAACAGAGAGGACTGAGGAGGAGCAATTGGGCAGGTAGGAGGAGAGCAGAGAGAGAGAGAGAGAGACAGAAGTGTCTCTAAAACCCAGAATGAAAACAGTGTCTAAGAGAAGACCATGACCAGCAGCATCCAATGCTGAGAAAAGGTCAAGAAGGATTAAGATGGAGAAAATCAGGTAAAGTAGAGACCATGTTATGAAACATTTGCAATGGTCTAGTCAGGGTGCAATAAGGACCTGTGCTAGGATGGGTGCAGGGGGAATAGAGCGTAGGACAGTGATGGCAGAGATGAGACACTATAAGACTTGGGCACTTGATGTGGCTGATATAAAATTCTTTTGTAAATCACACTTGGGACTCACTGTTTTCCTGCCATGATGATGATTTGCCTCTCTTTGAGATGGTCTGAAATATTGTTTCCATTTCCTGTCTGTATTCTTTAGAGTTAAAAGGCGTATTTTAAACACTATTATCTTTTTGTTTCTGACTAGCATACCTCTAAAAACTTGGGTGCTCCTGAATCCCTGGTTCACTTATGCTCTCTTGTAAGTATTATCCCCTTTAACACAAACTGTCTTTCCAGTAAAACACACACACACACACACACACACACACACACACACACATACACAACTTCATTTTTGCTGTGGTACTTTTATAATTTAAAATTATTTAATGCACTAATTAATCTTCCCATTTCTCTTGCACTACATATTGTTGACTATCTAGTAATGTGGCTAGGTATTAGATGTTAATAACATAGCTTAATGTTGTCTTTTAGCCCAATACTTTTTGCCCTGATCATTATACTGTCTTGCTGTGAAAATGTCCGTCATAAAGTGCCAGCGAATTTCTTTTTCCTCTTCATTTTTGTAAGTAGAAATCCTTAAGACTTATTATATCTCACCCCTGGGATAATTCTTATCATGTTATTAGACTTGTCTTATTTTTAAAATATGTTTTATTTGTTTTAGTCAACCAAGATTTGCCTTCTTGCCCTCTCTCCCCAATCCTCACTCCCCAAGAAAAGCAAAACTCATCGCAGATATGTATAGTCAATCAAAATAAATGTCCATCTGGGCCATGTCCTAACAAGTATTTGTTTCACTAAGGGGCAGCTAGGTGGCACAGTGGATAGAGCTCCAGCCTTGGAGTCAGGAGGACCTGAGTTCAAATCTAGCCTCAGACACTTGACACTTATTAGCTGTGTGACCCCGGGCAAGTCACTTAACCCTGATTGCCTCACCAAAAAAAGCAAAATACCAAGTATTTGTTTCATTTTTCATTCTGAGTCCTTCACCTCTCTATCAAGAAGGGGGATAGCATGTTTCCTCGTTAGTCCTCTGGAATCTTCGTTGGTTATTATGCTGATAAGAATTCAGTACAATAGTGTTCCATCACATTTATGTGCTAAAACTTCTTCAGTCATTCCCCAGTTAATGGGCACCCCGTCAGATTCCCAATCTTTGCCACCTCAAATGAACTATAAATATTTTTGTTCATCCTTAGAGCATGTTTTACCCAGGACTAATCCCTCCCTTAATCAGATTTCCCCTCTCCCCTTTCTCTCCTATTTCCCAGTTGAGTGAAATGTATTTGTGTGTGTGTGTGTGTGTGTTTTCTTTCTTCTTGTGACCAGTACAGAAGAGATCAAGTTCACAGTGTCAGTCATTCCTCCTCACTCCCTCCTCCTAGTTTGTAGAGATGTCAGTCTCATTAAAATTAGAAAGTAGATATTCATTGTTTAAGAGAAATTAATTGAGTCTGTTTCTGAACTTAAGGAATTCATGTACGAATTAACAGATTTACTTATAGAATAGCATTTTTGCCCAGACTTTTGGGGCCCTCTGGTAACATCGAGTAATTATTGTATCATCCCCGATGCTCCATGCTGAGAATGGTCAGCTCCCCCTGTTGTGCGTGCTTTGACCAGTCTTTAGCGACAGATCTGTCAGGCTCAATAAGCAGTGTTTTGTGGTGACAAAGGCACTTCAGTGACTCCCATTAACTACAGGAAGTTTCTCAGATTACAGAGTGGTTCTATTCTAAAATTTTACTTGCTAGTTGTTTGGAATTTGGAACATATTTTGTGGGGGCCCGTCCAGGATTGTTTAAGAGGTGAGAGGCTGGTGTCTGGGCTACTTGGCCTTATGTGGCATGAGACAGGACAGCTCTCAGAATTGAACCACAGAAATACATGGAGTTAACTTGTCACTTTAACTGCTTTTTTCCTACTATGTTTCCATTTGTTTTGGGGACTTGGGGCAGACCTTTGCAAGCACCAAAGGAGGCATAAACCTAATGGGACGTTGTATGTTGTGTGTTGGGAGTGAATGTGAGAGTTAGGGCCACCTGGCTGTGGAAGGTCTGCAAGGGTACAAAGGATAAATGCTGGGAGTGTTTAAAGAATTGTGCACTTTACTGGGGGATATATGGCACCGGGGAGGACTTTCAGGAAACTGGGTAACTTGTGCCTTGGGTGAATTGCCTATCGGCTTCCCAAGTCATCAGAAAGATATGCAGAACTGAGAATGTAAACCAGTGTGCCCAGAGGCACCCTAGTGTAATTCATGCACAGGGACTGTACCTTTTTAACTGAGGGGAGAGTACAGAGGGAATGACCAGGGGTAAGCCTGGATTCTTGATTCTACGCAAGGTTTTATTAGGTCAGGCTATTGTAGTTCTGAGCTACAACCCAGGCCTATAAAAGCAGTCAGACAGCTCTGCCAGAAGTTCAGAGAGAGACCCAGAGACAGGAGAGTAGTCTGGGGCAGAGGGGAGACGGCATGGGAAGGGAGCAGTCATAAGCTCCTGGAGATTCCGAGTGTTTTTTCTATTCTTTCTGTGGAGCGAGATAAAGGGTGGTAAAGGCTGTTGTTTAGCTGATAGTCAGCTTGAGTTGTTGAATGGGCCCTGGGGCCCCTTTACCTAAACATGAACTATAGTCTGACAGTCCCAGGGGAAACCTGGCAGCAGGTAAAATGACCCAAATTATAGGGTTCCTAAGGGAAATTCTGGGTACAAGCACAAGCCAAAGAGAGTAATTTAGAAGAAACCTTCTACCCCAGCACTGACCCTGGATCATATAAACCCACTGCTTGAGGTGTGGGTCACTGTTTGCAGAAAGAATGCCATAAATGTTACTTAGGCTACTGGGTCACCCCAGAGAAATCTATTTAACCTGAAATGTGCTTGAAATAGCGTACATTTGCAATGACTAATGGCAGAAGTAACGCTGTTGCAATATTTTTAATTAAGCAAAATAGAAAAATAATATTAAGACGTTTTGAGGTTGTTTTTTTTTTTTTAAAGGAAAACAGATTTAACAAAAAGAGAATGAGTATTTTCTGAAAGAGATTTCTGGGAGTTTTCAGAGACTAATCTCATTGACTTTCACATTAAAACTCAAAACATTTCTGTTTCTCAGTATACAAGCATCATTCAATTCGGTTCAACCCCACATACATTTATTTAGCTCCTGCTATTGACAAGACTCTGTGTTGGGTCTGAATACAAGGGCAAAATTGAAATTGTCCCTGACCTTAAGGAATTTAGATTCTATTTGGGATATATGTGGATGTATCTATTAGTGGCCCATGTATACATACACATGTATAGCATGTCCTTTAGATAGTATAACATGTGCTTTAGATGGTATCTCCACTTGGAGAATACTAGGAGAGGCTAGAGCAGGTGTGGACAGTTAGGAGGCTCCATTTTGAATAGCTGTGGAGACATTTAAAAAGACTCAGCAATGTCATCTGCTGCCTCTTTGTTTCATTCGTTTCTTGAGGGAGCTCGGTGACTCCTTCACTCCTAGAGACAGTTTCAAAAGACAGGAAGAGCAAGCCCCAGGATTCTGGGAGTCAGAGCCCAGCCGAGTTGTTCAGCCGGCTTGCTATCTGTCAGTGTCCTGGGGGAATGAGGGGGCTATCTTTTGGCAGTAACCTTCCAGAGGAAGAATTCGTCTAGGAATTGTGCTGCATCTAGACATGAACTTGGTGGGTGCGATGCTAGCTAGGAACTCAGCTAAATGATGAGCCTACTTCCCTCCAGATACCAAGGTAAGGGAGAGTAGCCCCAGAGCTACCGGGGAAAATGTATGTTTGCTGTGGCTGAGTCTTTGAAGTGAATCTCCTTTGGTAAAAGCTAATAAGTGTTAAGTATTTAAATGTAATTGGGTGTCGGCACTGGCCCCCCTATAATGGGAGCTACACAGCCGGTGGGGACTTGAGCTAGGAGAGAGAGAGACTTGCACAAACCCCTCCAGTAAAGAGCCCTGAGGGGCAGATGTACTTTGCCTGGCCCTGGGGAGTGGGGCAGAGAACATATGTAACATATGCAAATAAATGCATATTAGAAGAGTTGAGGAAGGAGTGGGTCCTAGCATCTAGAAGGAACCAAGGAAAGCTTCCTGGAGAAGGTGGCGCAGAGGTGTGCCTGGAAGGAAGAGGATTCTGGGAGGCAGAAGTAAGAGGCAGATGGTCTGGATGAATGCCACGTGCAGGTGGAGTTTCGGGTTTTCAGCTGTAGGCCAGTTTGGCTAAACGAGGTGTTGTATTGAGTAGGTCCACTTCTCAAGGGTTTGCTGTATCCAGAGCTTACGATAAATTGCTGCTGCTGCTGCTGCGTTTAAAAGTTTGGCCCATGGGGAATCCTAAGCAGGCCTTCCATTCCACCCCAGAGGTGGCCCTGGGCTCTTACAAGGGGCTTACTCAGCTGTCTGTCTGGAGTCACCCTAATAAAGATGTTCCATTGTTATGGCTGGAACCCTGCCATCAGAGTGGGAGAGAGACTTCGTGAGAAAGGTCCTTTGGTGTTTGCCACAGCCTGCCAGAAGACAGTGAGCCTAGGAAGTGGTTCGGAAAAAAGTCACTGCCCCGGGTGGTGCCTGGCCTCGAACCCTGACCGTGCCTCAACTGACTGTACCTCCAGACGCAGGCAAATTGGAATCCAGGCAGCTGTACAGGAGTCTCAGCTGAAGGTTTTTGGACGGGACCACACATATCTTAAAACCCAACATAAGTGGTGTCTTTTTTTTTCTTTTCTTTTCTCTTTTTTTAAGAACAAACAAATGCCCCAGGTTTAATAAATTCTGCACAACCTCTCAACTGTCTGGGCCAGGGATGAGGAACCTGCACCCTCGAGGCCACGTGTGGCCTTTAGGTCCTCAAGTTCAGTCAAAGGCCTCAAGGCTGCAGGTTCCCCACCATTGGTGGGCATTAAAAACATACGAACTTAGAGTCTTATAGAAGCTGCTCTTTGTAAAATTCATCCACGGTTTGGAACTTACCACTTTTTTTTCCGCTATATTTTCCCATTATTATTCTCAAACTGCTGGCTGGTTCCTTAACTGACCGTCTCCTGTTGTTAAGGGAAAGAAACTTATTGATGGTGGTTTTGTTACTTCCTCAACAATATAAATGCATCTGTAGGAAGTGTTTGGCTGTTTGCTGGTCTTTTAGTCTATAAGTCTACATACCTTTTCTTTAATCTTATATGAAATACCTTTTCTAAATCTTTTTCCTTGTTCACACTTCCCATATTAGGCTTTTCCCAGTGTGGCAAATCATTGATTTTAACCTGGGGGACTGCAGTTAAGTATCTATCCCTCGGGTGTGGCACATCTTTAACACTTGAGTGTTGGCCATCATCATCATCCTCAAACATCATTTTTATCATCATCATCCCTGGGTGTTGGGGGGGGGGGATGTTTGTACCTCTATTCTTGCTGTTTCTTCTTAGTAAATATTTCTTTGTGAAAGTTAATTGATGTTAATTGGTTAAATAATACAGGGCAGTGATCACTGCTGATTGATACGGGGGAGAAATTCAGGCAGGTGGGCTCTGAGAAGAACTCCAGAGCCCCTTA